GTGTGTGTGTGTGTGTTATAGGGACAACACTGTGTAATTAGATTAATGTAAACAACAGTGGAGAACTGGATTAACACTCCTAGAGGACCAGGAAGTGTTTTACATACAGGATTTATTTATAAGTTGATTTAACTTTAATTTCTACTGTTTAATATGTATTGTTTGTTTTTCAGTGTCTCCAGAGAATCACATAAAAACTGACTGATACTTCCACTCTACTACAGCTGGAAGGCAGATATTGTGGAGAGCTGGGGCAAAACTGTTTCCTTTTATTAAGATCAGTTTCACAGCCTCTTTCTTTAAGGGAGCCATTTTCTATCACTGAGCATGAATATTTTATATTATATTCAATATCAATAACAGCAAAGAACAGCTGATAAACTGAACAATGAACCCAAACAGTGAACTCAGTAACTGCAGGAAGTTTTGAGCTGATTATTTCCTGTGAATATTGATTATAGAGATTATATTTTTATACAATTCTCTGTCTCTATTTTTTTTTTTATCATATTAACAATCAGACTTAATGTTCTTCTGTTCTGATAGATTGACTGTTTTCTTGTCATTGTTCTATCAGCTGTTTGGTTTTTGATACAGGATGAGGCTGAAGCTCTGTCACTGTACATTGTGATCAATAATAATAATAATAATAATATACACTGTGTTTGAGTCTTAAATAATAATCTACATCAGTGGTTCCCAGCCTGGAGGTATAAGAAGTATAAAATATACACAATAAATGGCTTTTATCTCTGCATTTCATTAATTTATGTGAAAACTAAATATAATTATTATAAAAGTTTATATTGTTATTTAAGATTTAAACCTCAACACAAGATATATTCACATTAAAATACAATGAAAACTGATCTCTGATCAATATTCACAGGAAATAATCTGCTCAGAATTTTACACAAACTTCCTGCAGTTAGTGAGTTCACTGTTTGGGTTCATTGTTCAGTTTATCAGCTGTTCTCGATGGTTATTGATATTGAATATATTATGAAAACTCCATAAAATCTGTCATCTGATACAGACACATAGAGGACCAAACGCATGATCCCCCCCAGGTACGATGGGGAGTGTCACATGTGTTAGAATGGGGGTCGTGCTGCTCAGTGTTCGGACCTGTAATGTTGAAGAGGACATGTGATGTTTGAGGCGCTGGCAGAAATCTATACTTGTCATTGTTGCTCCTCGTGCAGCATGTGAGCGTCTGTCCGGCCGCCTGAGGGGGGAACTCAGCTGACGGCGCTGTGGATGGAGACGACATCAGTTCATTAAAGGATGAATTAAAGGACCAGTGTGTAGAATTTCAGTGGCATGTTGGAGAAACTACAGTAGAACCTGATTTGTCTGGCTACTGTAGAAACATGGCAGTTCAACATGGTGAACTCCGCCAGAAGAAGACCCGTCTCATTCTCAGGTAACGAGAAGACAACGATTGTTAGCTTGAGGTGATTTTACACTCATGAAAACATAACTATAGATATTATATTCCATTTGTGACAACATAACTGCCTTAATGTTACTCACAGGGCCTTTAAAAGTCAAGTCAGTTTTATTTTTATAGGCCAGAATCTGAAATCACACTTTTCCTCAAGAGGCTTTACAATCTGTACAGCACACAACATCTTCTGTCCTTCAAAATAAAACTCACAAAAACTGTCTTTGTTAGTCTTTCCAACAATCCCCAACTCTGGTTTGGTTCAAATGATGATTCCTTAATTTACCGAGTTGGATGAGAAAATAGCTGTGAAATCCACTGCTATGGCTGCCACGTAACGTCTTTGGGACAAAACCCGCTAACGACAAATTCACCTAGAGCCAGCACCCCCTATACACTGGGCCTGGGTCCTCGCTGCAGCCGCCATGTTTGCCATCCCTTTCCTGTCATTCTTCATCTGTCCTATCCAAAAAAAGGCAAATAAGCACCGCCAAATGAATAATATATATATTAATATATATATATATATATATATATATAAATAAACCTTAAACAGGAGAAGAAAATAGAAAAGGAAGAGCCTCAGTGGAGGATCCCTCCCTCTCCCAGTGGGGTTGTCATGTGTTCAGAAAAATCACAATATACAAAAATCCAGACATATGTTGATTAATAACACACTGGGTGACATATGGACACACACATTGTGTCATTATTACTGTTTATTTATACTCTCAGAGCACCAAATGTGGATTAATCCGCCACAGAAAATACTCCCCATGCCACACATGCCGCACTATTTCCTACAGCGAGTTGCTGTTTCAAAAGAAAGTGACTGAACATTTTTTAACAACTGAAACTTTTTATTGGTGTTTTTTTTAAAACAATATTTCATTGGAAGCAGGTAGAATGACCAGGTGTCTGACTTTAGGTTTATCTCTTGTGCCTTGAAGAAAGCAGGAAGGCTGTCGATGCTTATGTTAAGACGCCCCTTAGTGGTGAAACATGTGCCTGCATGTACTGGCTTCAACCTCCCACAGGTCTGGTTTTCATGCTCCAGCGTACTCATTGATTCATATTTTTATCTCCTCTGAATGTATCAATGTAAACACACAGATGTTTAATGGGACACAATGATGAAGTGATTTTATCTGAAAGGTCAAAGGTCAACTTCACTGTGGCATCATAATGTCAGCTCTATAGCTCAGGAACAGAAGAGATTGGGACCTTAATGGTTATTCTGACCTCATTTAATAATGAATTCCAGATTTCACACACATGCTGACTGGGACACAATGACTGAACAATAAGTAGCACAGCTTTCTGCCTTTTTACTTTTTTATTATCATAGTGCAGACATTTAAAAAGGGGGTTTCTCCTCCTCTTGTACACAGCGCCACCCAGAGTCGTAGTACAGTTGTGTTCCCATCCACCAGTTCTGTGACGATTTCGATTCCCTTCAGCGAGACCTTCAGCTTTAGGTTGCACTCAGTGTACAAACATAGAATACGCATAAATAAACAGGACAACAGGCTCAACAAAACAGATATAAACTACTATATATACAGTTATACATAAATACATATTTATAAACATAAACAAAAGGAATAACATGTGTAGACAGTAGACGGTGGTGCAGAGTGCAAAGGATGCTGGAATAAATTTATGTGCAGGATTCTTTCTTTATGTACATGAGGTAGGTAGATATGACACTATATACAGTACATATATACAGTACATATGTACAGCATGCGTAGATGATTTTGAGTGATGCTATTTGTGTTTTTAAAAAGAAAAAGAATCAGTTCTCTGTGTGGAATAAAGTTGTTTTTCTGCCTCAGTTTTCAGCAGTGTAGACGAGTTTCAGAACAATATGCTGGTATTGATAAAAGGAATCAATACGTTTTGTGGCACAAATGTGTGCACATTTAGTCCCGCTATACTCTGCAAGAATCCATCTTTACATCGTAATCAAGCACATGTGCAATGTATATTAACTGGAATCATTCAGATATAATGAGAACTTCCATTTACAAAGAAAATACAAACAATAAATATTGTATATATTACATGATACAACCACAGGGAGGTCATTCTAGCTGTAATGAGGTTGATACTGCATGTGTTTCTCTTCCGTGTCTGCACACAACAATCACAAACATATCACACCCTGTTTTATGTCATCCAGGTCTCTCTC